TCTTAAGATATTTATTATTGAAATCTGATTGGCTTATTATTTTATACCGATATTGATCAACAAATTATAGTAATATCAGTATATAAAATTTTCTTAATATACCGATAACTTGATATACCAATATTTTTTTCTCAAAACAGCTGTGTCGTTACATAGAGGTTTGACTGTATCTATAAAATAATTATTTATTCAAAGTAGTAATATAATTATACCAGAACATAATAAACTTAAAAGTGATACAATTCATACAATGATGTATCTTAAAAATTGGCTAAATTCCAATATGTTTTAATTTTTTTTTATGTATAAATTTTTTGTATAATTTGAGAAATAATAATGGTTAATAATAATAAAAAAAGTGTATTAGAATAATAATGCTTTTTCTTTTTGAAAAAATTATAAAGTTTCAATTATGTAAATATTATTAAATATAAAAATAAAAATAAAAATAATTATAAAAAAATTTAACTAAAAAAAATTTTTATAATATGAATTTAATTAATTTTTTGAATTAAATATAATAAGATAACCAGTTGGTTTAGTTGGAAAAAGCATATGCCTTTGATAAAGGCTAAGTAGCATTTACTTTATTTTTTACTTTATATATCTATTTTGAAATTTTCTTTAATTTATATTATAAAAATGTTTTTTTAATAAATAAATACTTCACTGCATCTTAAAATATATATATATATATATATATATTTAATCATTTTAATTCATTTTGGTTAATTTGATTTGATTTGATTTAATTTAATTCGATTTTATGAAATCCTAGTATATGTATATTAATAATATAAAAAATTAATGCTAAAGTTCTTTAAGTTTCATTTTTACAAAATATTCTAAAATCTTATTTTTTTATTGTAAAATAATATTTATCCCTTAGACTGACTGTATAGTAGACAAATTTGCTTGCAAATTTATAAGATGTTAAAAATGTTAAATATTAATTTTAGTAATATTATTATTACATAAAAATATAGTTAATATATTTTTTATCAACTTTATTAATAAAGATTTTAAGTTTTTTAAAAGGTTTTTAAAATAATTTAATTTTAAAATTAAGTTTCAAAAAATTTATTATAATAATTTTTTAAAAATTTATATTTTTTTTTACTAATTGAATCACTTTATCATTAATTAAAGTCATAAAATTTCTTAATAAATTATAAAAATGATAATAATAAAAGTTTTTATTTATAAGTAATTTTATAATATTCTATTATGATTAATATAGTTAAAATTAAATTCTAAAAAGTTTATTATAGATTAATCATAAAAATTACAAATTTTTAGTTTCTAAATAATATTAAATTTTTTATTATAATTTAATAAGATATTATATATTTATATAATTAATTTAAAAAAAAAATTCTTAAAAATATTAATAATTTATAAAAATAAATCAGAAGAGAATTTATAGTAAATAAGCAAGCAAATTTGCCTGTGAAATCTTACAATCTAAGAGATAATATTTTTTAGATATTACTTAATAATAAATTTGTTATATTAGGATTAATTTGGTATCAATTTTATATTATTTTAAAATTAATTTAGATTGAAAATATATTTTTATTAGCCAAAAGCATAATAAAGAACTATATACTATTATATATAATTATATAGAATATCCAGATATTCATGATTGAGCTAATGTTAATTAGTTCTTGCATTTGCATTTACTAATAAGAAAGCATTTTCAGTAAAATTGTATTATAAATTATATGATTTATTATGCTTTATAACTTGATTTTACTGAAAATGTTTCCATATAACATGTTATAATCTGCTTAAAAATTAAATCGATGCTGACTGGTTACTTATGTTCTAAATTTAATAACGGTTTCCAAAACTATTCCTTAATTATATAAATATATGGGTTGTGATCTAAGAAAATCAAGTTCTGATAATTTTTTATCAAAATTGTGATTTTAATTACATATTAATTTTATTATATTTAGACTAAAATGTAATAAGATATTATTAATTTTAATTAAAAATTTTTTGGAACTTGATTTTCTTAGATCATAATCCATATCATTGTTTATATATATAATATATAAATAAAAAATTATTATTATAAAATTATTATTAAAAAAATATTTAGAATGTGATTTAGAAAAATGTTCATTTAAAACTTAATAAAAAATAAGTCTTAGAAGATCATTTTCCTAGATAATGTTCCATTTATTTTAATAATATATAATCTATAAAAATTAAGCATTAAAATTTAGTTTAATAAAAAATTTTTTAAACCATAATTTTATATTATTTGTTTTACTTATAAATCTTATAATCTATTTATATATTTTTTACATAATCCTTTAAATTCATTTTATTTCTTAAATTATTATTTTCTTATAATATAATTTTTATTTATCTAAATTATTATTAGGATGATTCTTTATTGATATAAAAATGTTGTAAAATCCAAAAATTATTAATAGTTTTTTTATAAAATATAATAAAGGATTCAATATTAAATATAAACTTTTTTCTTATTAGAAATGAAGAATTTTTATAATGAAATAATTCATTAATTGTTAAATTTTAAATTTTAAATTATTAGATAGTTTAAGTAATTTCTTATTAATTTTATAAAATTCTTAAATAATATTTATTTAACAAATTATATATATCTTAAATAATTTTGTTTATATATATATATATCATTTTTATATTTTATATAATAAATATAAAAGATTTTAATCCGCGTCTTTAAAAAAATAATATGAAATCTAACGTAAAAATTTAGCGAAACTAAAGGTTTAAACGTAACCAACCTTAGACAAGCAACCTTAATTGAGACCTATTTTTTGTTTTGATAATTTATATTAAATAATAACTTTTTGTGTAACAAATGTTTGACGATTAGTCTATTTTAAACTTTAAATATTTTCTTTCATGTTATGAAATCGAAAATATTGAAATATTGTAAAGAAAAAATTTTTGAAAGGAAAGCCGATAATCGTCTGAATTTTTAAATTTAATAATTTGATATCTGAAGTTGCTTTACTTTTAATAATGAAATTTTGCTACATAAAGATCGCAATAAATAAAGAACGAATCTTATCTATTATACTACCTATCCGCAGGTGTTTTTACATTTGATCAATTATTACGCGATAAAAAATTTTTTTTTTTTGCTTACTTGATTTGTTATATATGATTAAAGCAAAATAAAATAATAATGATAAATTTGAAAAGCTGTAATAAAAAGGATTAAGTGAATTTGATCGCAAATTCGAAATGGGTGAGTTCGGGAAGTAAGACATTTTTGAATTACGTTTATTGTTAAGTTGTTCTTATATTAGGCTCGTTAAGAAAGTTTATCTTACATCTTTAAAACGTGGATTGTAAAACTATTGATTATTATATGATTATATTTATTCGCTAATTTGAATCTCATGATGTAATTTCACAAAACGAAAGTTACACCAAATGTACGCCAATAATGTGATGGATTATCCTACGTGAAGAATAAAGGTAATGCCTGTGTTATTTCGATGTAACATTCTTTAAGAAACCTATTTGAAACAACTTTTAACGCGAACCATTACTATCTTTTAGAGGACAAATTTACAATACGCAGAATTTAATTTATGTAATCAGAGTTTTTAATTAAAAGTTAGGTTTTTTAAAGTTGAAATGTATTTTATGTTTCACAAAACCAAAATAGATTAGCATTTCACCCTTATAATCGGAAGTTATTTTCCGCCTAATCCGAAAACCAGAATATAAAGATTTCCTTTCTTACGCAACAATAAAAAATTGACTTCACAATCAGATATGACATTGCAATCAAAAATGTCTTTACAATCAAACAATAATAGCAACGGCGAAAGAAAATCGATTTTTTTACCTTCAGACATAATTGAAAATATATTTTTATATCTTGAAAAAGAATTTTCGACAAATCCAACACAGTTGCATGGTATAATTTATTCATGTACTTGGATAAATAGAAATTGGTGTCAAAACACAATACCATATTTGTGGAATAAGCCGTTTTTTTCTCGAAATCTTCATAACAATAATAAAAAGTTAAGAAATAATAATAAAAAGGTCATTGATACATTATTAATGAGTATGAATGAGAAAGAACGAAAAGAATTAAAGACGATAGGTTTTAGCTTACCTGAAAGAGGATCAATATTTGACTATTCTAGTTTCATCAAAAATTTAGATTATTTTGAAATGCTAAATAGTATTGTTGATTGGACATTAGAAAATCATTTACATATTACGAATGAAAACATACAAGAATATTTTTATCAAAGAGATATCGAAAATACGAAGAACGAGAGTAATATTGATGGATTAATTCATTCAATCACATTTTTTTTAATGAAAATGCTTGCAAATCATAATGCTAAAATTATTAGTCTTAAATTAATACCATCTACTATTAATTATTATGTTAGAGGCGATAATTGTTATTATTCATTCATTGACCAAAATAAATGCTTAATTGAAAATTTAAGACATTTAGAAGTTGATACCGGATTTTGTAATGATTTGTTTTTAATTTCTCTTTCTAAAATATCTGATAATTTGGTAAGTTTTCTAATATTGTTTTAGGTAATCATTTAAGAAAAGTTCTATATAATATATGTATCAAGCTCATTTTCTCTCTCTTTTTTTTTTAGAAATATTTACATGCCTCAACAGATAATATTAGAATAACAAAATCGCAAAGTAATATTAGATCACAAGCAACTACAGCTGCTTTAAAATATTTGATATCATCACAACAAAACTTAGAATCATTAAAATTATCAGGTTATATATGGTGTTCAACTTTATTGAATCAATCAATAATAATCCAAATCAATTCTTTAAAAAAATTAGAATTAAATGAAATACAATTTAAGAATAATAATTTCTTGGAAATAATAAAATCATGCACTAATTTAGAATCATTAATTATTAATTGGTGTTGGGGATTTGGTAATAAGGAAGAAGAAAATAAGATTCTACATTTTATTAATAATACCCAATTTCCTAAATTATCTAAGATTATTATTAAAGGTCTTTGTCCAAATAATATAAGAAAATGGGCTGAATCTTATAATGATTAAAATTTAATAAAAAAATAATAATTATTAATAAATATAATAAAATATTTAAATAATAAAGTTGATTCTAAAATAATTAAATGCTTGTTTATCATAAAATAAAAAAGTTTATTCTATTAAAACTTATATATTTTCTTTTTGAAATTAGTAAATTTTCATATATATAATTTTCAATTAATAATTAATTTGATTTATATTTTAATAAATAATTAAAATAAAATTATTTAATATAAAATAATATAAATAAATATATAAAATGCATGTTTATTAATTTTTTAAATAATTTTAATATATATTATATATATTTATAATTCCATCCCAACAACTTCTCCTTCCCCTTTTACTTTTTTGTCCAATATGCTAATTATTTTTAAATATTTATTATATACTATTATACAATATAAATTATTTTTATTATTAAGTATTTAAAATATTTAATATATACTATTTATAAGAATACTATTCTAAATTATTAATAATTAGTTTTAGTTTAATAAAACTAATTCAGTAGTATTATTTATTAATTAATCTAATTTTGATACTTAATTAAATAGTTTCGATAAATCTAATCTATAAAATTTTAGTATCAAATAGTAATATTAATTAATTAATATTACAATTATATAAAAATTATAAAAAGATTAAATTATTTTATTTGTTAAATTAAATTAGATTAGAGGTTAGAACCAGTCCAAAAATTCTTAACCGGTTAATAATCGATTAAAAATTTCTTTAACTGGTTAATTAAACAGTTAAATTTAACTCAGGCAGGCACTATAAATTTGGACAAAACTAGCAAATTTTATAATTGCAAAAAAATTTAATTCTGCCTGAAAATTAAATTTCAGCTAGAGTTAACATTAGTTATTTAACCAGTTAAAAAAAAATCTTTACCCGGTTAAAAAGATAAATGTCTTAATCGATTAATTAACCGATTAAAAATTAACCAGTTCCAACCTTTAATTAGATTTTATAATTAATATTATATTATATTAATAATAAAGTTAATAATAATAAATATTAAACTACTTTTTTATTAATAAAATTTACAATTAATTAAAAATAATAATTTATTTTAAATTTTATATACAGTAACTTAAATATATAATTTTAGTTGTATATGACTTTCATAATATAATTATATTATAAAAGTCACATACAACTTGATTTAGGTCATGAAGGTAACTTTATAGTCTGCTAATAGCTTCATAATATAATAGTAACTTTATAGTCTATTGATAACTTCATGTCATAATGGTAACTCCATAGTCTGCTGGTAACTTCATAATATGTTGGTGATTTCATAATCTAAATTCATGATCTGGTAGTAACTTCATAACCTATAATTTGTAATTTGATGGTAACTTCATAATCTACTTATGGATAGCTTCTTTGTATTTATTGCATTATTTTAATCATTTTCTGTATAATGTGATAGTGATTTCATAATCTAACGGTGGATGGTCTTACTTTAAATTAATAGTAATGTTATGATTTAATGGTTACTGCTTTCTTTTTATTCCTAATTCGTTTACATGCTAAATTCTATATTGCTGGTACTGGCTTTCCATTTTTGTTTGAATACTTGGTTCTCTAGTGAGGATGCTGACCCTCTGTGTCAGTTTGGTTACCAGTTCTATATTAAGAATTTGCACCTATTTGGTTGCTTTTTAAAATACTGAAATGGTGTAAAAAAAAGAGGCGACAGGTGGTGCAGTGGATTTGCGATTAATTTTGGCTGGCTCTATGGTATAATTTTGGCTGATCTTTAGAGTACATGATTTGAGAATCCAGCTTGGCGTCATGATAGTGATTTGATAGTATCCTGAAACTACTGTAGAGCTGTTATAGAACTATCATAGAACTGGCGGGGAGCTAGAGTGGTTCTATTAATTCACCAGTTTTATGCCAACTTGGGTGACGAATTATTATATTCAAAGTTCTGGCTGAAGTTATGGAATTGTGCTAGCTGAAATTAAGCGAATAAGTCTTACATGAAGGCTATACTATATCGAATAAATAGTTAGAAAGATGAAATCTTCTCCCATTTTTATATAATATAATTACGGAGAATACTTCACTTTCAATATATATATTCTTGTCTTCCTTTTACGATTTGCTGACTAAGCTCGCTATCATATTATCACCTCTTTTTGGTATATCTCTATATTTCACAAAGGCTAATACATATATACGGATACATACTAGTGATAGGGTAAACCTTTTCTGTCACAATATTCTATATAATAATTACAGAGAAGGCTATCTTAAATATCACCTACTGAGAATCAATTTATCTGCCAAATTTTTGCGAGCCGTCCCCCTGTCTGTAATGAATTTTTTCAGGACAGAAGGGGAGAACGGGTTTGTTATCTTTCTTGAGATTATTAAGCTATTTTATTTCTTTCTTGATTAGTATCCCTACTATTTATAGTGTTACATGAAAATAACATGGATGACTCAGATGATGAATATAACTGCAATGACTAAAATGTCATATATATCTTATATGTAATATATCTTATATATTTCTTTTATTTACTATATTATATATATTTCTTTTATTACTTATATCTCTTATATCTCATATATTTATTATAGTTATTATATCTCTTATATTATTTATATTTCCTATATATCTTCGAACATTTTATGTATTCATTTTTATATAAATATACCTTGAGTCTTAGAGTAGTTAACGATAGAGAATTTTGAAGTAAGTTTAGAATAGTTAGAGTACTTTCTTAAATAGTTTGATTTAATATAAAACATTTACACAGTACAGAGCAGTAGGGGAAAAATGGGGGTTCTGGGGTAAAATCGAAACAATACCCAAAATAGATCTCTAAGCCTTTTTCCAATCAATTTTAGCTATATGAATCAACTATAGAATTAAAGCTTCTAGCCAATTTTAACTCAATTCT